GAAGGTCTCGAGTTCGGATCTCGTTTATGACTTGAGACTGATGGTTGTTTGACTTAAGATGGGGAAAGTTAAAACGTGTCTGTGTGATGCTGACCGCACCATCTCTTCATATGCTTAAGTTAAGAAACAGAATTTAGAACAAAAAAGATTTTTTGTTTAATCATGTTAACAACAACGTGATCACTCGAGTTAGACAAAGTTGACCATTAGAAAAATTCATACACGGTCGTCTTGTATGACGTAAATTTTTTTTTGCCAAATATTGTCTAACTTTTAATATTAAAAAAAATATGGCAAGTACACTAACCCTTAAGAATATAAGTAGATTATTTATTCATAGACCACCTGTTACTGACAAGACAAAGGACGATTTAAATAATTCTGGCTATTACTTGTAATATGTTCTTCTAGTCTACACATGTACATTTATTTTGGCCGAGTGGATAAACTATATGCACTAAAACAGACGAAGCGACTTCAAAAGATTCATTACTTAACAAAATCGATAATTTTACATAATGATTCTCTGTTTTACACCATGAGGGAACTGCTCATAAAGTAGACGGTATACGACGTTATACACTATATGGTCACACATTCACATGTACAGACATGTTCACACAAACACACACACATACACACACACATACACACACACTCATATATATATATATATATATATATATATATATATATATATATATATATATATATATATATATATATATCTTTAACAATAGCAGGTTCAGAAATAGAATCATGATTTATAATTATGGTTACGTTTAATCAAATTGTCTCTAGACAGAATACTTCAGTTATAGTATATCTAGATAGGTTACATCATGAAAAATGATCTCAGGACAAATGATCTCAGACAAATTCTCTCACGGACAAATGATATCAGTATAAAGATATCAAGACAAATGATCTCACTGACCAAAGATATCAAGACAAATGATCTCAGGACCAAAGATATCAAGACAAATGATCTCACTGACCAAAGATATCAAGACAAATGATCTCACTGACCAAAGATATCAAGACAAATGATCTCACTGACCAAATATATCAAGACAAATGATATCAGTACAAAGATATCAAGACAAATGATCTCAATGACCAAAGATATCAAGACAAATGATCTCACTGACCAAAGATATCAAGACAAATGATCTCAGGACCAAAGATATCAAGACAAATGATCTCAGGACCAAAGATATCAAGACAAATGATCTCAGGACCAAAGATATCAAGACAAATGATCTCAGGACCAAAGATATCAAGACAAATGATCTCAGGACCAAAGATATCAAGACAAATGATCTCAGGACCAAAGATATCAAGACAAATGATCTCAGGACCAAAGATATCAAGACAAATGATCTCCCGGACAAATGATACCATGGACTACATATCTAGCGTCTTCTCGGGCTATGGCCTTTAATTTTTTTCTTCAAAGAATTTGGTCGGCGACAGCGTGTGTTTGATTGTGGGAGAAATAGAAGACGGCCATGAAGATGGTTAAAATAATACAATTCTAATTAATAATTTTTTTAAATATATAAAAAAAAATTGACGACAATTTTTTAGTCCCCTATTTGGTCCCCACCCCCTGCCCAATTCACAAAAGTACAGTTTGTAGGATCGGTCAAGCAGTTACGTATCCTCTATTTAGCTATCAAAGGGGAGCAACGAGTCACAGAAGTAAATAAAAATTTGAATATTTGCCTATATTTTACACTACAGTTTGTGTAATGAATTTTATTTCTTGCGGAAGAGCTAGGTGTAGTGACTGTAAAATAAAGATTATCGTATTGAGCTACGTATTTTTTACTTTCTCGTATATACGAAGTATAGAGAAAGTCTTGTAATCGTGCAAAAAAAATAATAATCGAGATTTGCTCGATTTTTGCAAATCTCGACGTTTAAGGGCTCCCTGAGTCGGAAAAACAAATGTCTTTGTGTCTGTATGTGTGCCTGTATGTGAACACGATATCTTGAGTACCGTTACAGCTAGGTTGATGACATTTCATATATAAATATTATATTAAAATCGTAGATTCGTTTCAACTTTTCAGCGACTTCCGATAACCGGAAGTGAAACTTTTTCTACTTTGAAGTTTTCAAAAGCCTATAACTTGAGTACTATTTCAGATAGATAAATGAAATTTCACACGTAAGTAAAACTTAAATATCTCTGCCTTATATCATATTTTGAGAAATTTTCGTCGACCTGAAGTAGTAATTTACGCTATTTCCGATTTCTCAAAAAAACGCATGTCAATTTATAAAGTACTAATAATATCCCGCACTATTATGCACATTTTATTTGGTGTTCACTTGGTGTGCAATTCTTTTTTTACGTGATTCTAGTCTATTATAAAAAGTTTAAGTAATTAAAAAATGGATTACAAATATTGTCTATGTCCCGAGTTGCCATCCGCCGTAGTGTTATATTTGAGTATTCGAGAAAGTTTAGGGGAGTACACTCCCGGTTTATTTACAAACCAAATATCAAGGCAAAAATGCACGAAAATTAAATTCAAAATTTAGAAAAAAAAAATTATGGTCAGCTCTGCCCCCCCCCCAACAGCTTGCCCCCCCCCCCCTCCCCAGCACTGCGGGGTCTGGCGGCACTGTAGTTCCGCCCCTGCATGTAATCAATATTTCACACACGATCACAACCACTACCTCTCTCTCTCTCTTATACACACACAGTGACTAGTGGAGCGTGCACATTTATAACTCTCTAACTCTCTAACTCTCTGCCTCTCTCTATGATTATCGGACGAAATAATAATAAATGGACGAAAACTTTAAATTAAAATGCGATGACGTTGTTATCAACACAAAGTGTAGGCTACAGATGAAAACAAATTAATTCAAATACTATAACAAAGTGAAGGCCGTCACATCTGAGTCACACGTGACGGCTCTAATGGGCCAGCTGACAGTGTGACGTCACATGAATATATAAAAGCCACAGTTGGCGGTTGTATAAACCTACCTTGCTTTAAAATATTTTTTGAAGAGCTGCCGGCTTCAAAGTGAAACGTAAGTCATATTTTGCTTTATTATTTAAGACTCCATTGTCCGTGTAATCGTGTATTTAATTTTTGAGAAATAATATTTAAAATATTTTGTTATATTTTATTTACCCCAGAAATGTAATTTACAGCGTCAGTTTGTTGAAGTAAAATAATATAACTTTATAGAATTAACTTGCTTTCTTTTTTTAGAGGGCTTTTGAAAGAAAACGCAATAATTATAAAAATATTTATGGCATTACAGTTTACATACTATTGATATGCAAGGCCTAAGCATTTAGATTTATATACACTTAACTATATTTTTGAGGGAAATTTAATGTGAAAATTCCCACCAGCGTGAGTTTTGATCCTGAATACAATTTGTGCAAAAAATATTTCTTACATTACAATTTACAAATTACAAAACGGGCTGGTAGTGTGTCAGTCGCTATAGATTTTGGAAGTCTCTCCCTGGGCGCGGACGGCCGGGTGAACGTGGTGTTCGGCGGCGGTTTAGGTGACGCCTTGGGCTTGGGTTGGTGAGATGTCTGGGTGGACGTTCGTTTGAGCTTTGGCTCTCAATTTTATTTTTACCGTAATTTAATGTTTGTAAATATCCATATTCGCACCAAAGTGCTACCGACACCTGCGCGCAGCGCTTTGCGCTGAAGGAATATTCGCCCCAATGCAGGGATCTACAGCGCGGTATACATATCCATACCAATGCGGTGACCCGCGCGCAGAGCGGTAAACTCTGAGGTAATACCCATTACACCACCGCGGTAAATGCGCGGGCATGCAGCTAGTAATATTTGCAGGGACTAAACATTAAGATTTTTATACATTTTTATATATTGTTGAGGGAAAGAATGTGAACATTCCCACCACCGTGAGCCTGCCTTGAGGTATGACCCTGAATACAATTGGTGCACATCTAATTTTTGCGACTAGCAATAGCTAGACATAAGGATAACATACGCTGTATGGGAAGGGGGAAGGGGGGGCTGTTATTTCTGACGACGATCAACGTCCGGGGTTGTTGTTTTTTTTCGGTGAAATGCGACATAGAACACATTTTAGTATTTCTATTTTCGTTTTAAAATCAAACGTTGATGGAAAACATTTTTACCGACTGTGACTTAAAGTGCAGACGAAGCATTTATACAAAATAAAAAAGGTTTACTACATCAGACATTTTAAAAAAAATATATATATTTTGCGAAAAATTAAAACATCTAATTCCCATTAATTCCCAATCTATTTTGTTTTTGTTATAACAACATATTATGGCTTGCTATAGTTTACCATAGTTTGATCTCACCTAGATAAGAAAATTCATTAATATATAGGCCTACATTAGAAATAGCTTTTTTAGCAACGCTTTATATTTTAGTTTGATCTATAAATAGCATTGTGCGCGTTTCTAAAAAAATGTTTTAATGGCTGAAACCTCTTATGTTGGACCCGCCGGCCTCAAAATAGTTGGCCGTGCTAAGTATTAATTACTTGATCACCTCGGTCATCTGCCGAGGTGGGTGTGGCTGAGCGGTAGAACGCGTGGCTGCTAACTCTGAGTTCAGACCCCTAGTAGATGAGACCGTGGGCCACAAACCATCTAGGGGAGAAAAATCCAACCTTAAACAATTTCAGCCTGTCTTTTTTTTTGTGTGGATAAAGGTGGCTATGGATGCTCATCCAGAAGTAAAGTTGGGGGCAGCATTCAACATGGTGCATAAAATGTAGACACGCTGTATTTTATCGAGTTGGAAAAAAACCCTTGCAATCTTATAATGAAAAAAGAAACAAACATTCCTTATGGCGACGACAAGTATATTTGTATATAATTTATATAAACTATTTCGAACAACCCGTAGTATTGATAATGTGTGTATCCGTGTATTATTTATTTTTCCATCTTCAGATATTGGACAAACCTGCTTGCCTGACATCGGTAAACATTAAATTTAAAAAATGTCCAACCCAAATGACGTCTATCAACACGAGGAGTTTATGTTGAAGTTTCAAAAACCTGGCATGGGAACTCAGGCCGCTATTGAAGGTAATGTGTTACACCGAGAGGTCCGGTTTCACCCCCCCCCCCTCTTCCTATATATATATATATATATAAATAAATAAATAAATAAATATATATATATATATATATATATATATATATATATATATATATATATATATATATATATATATATATATATATATGTGTTACGGTCAAAGCCCGAAGTGCGGCCAAAGCCCGCATTGGCCGGCCAATGTTGGCATTGGCCGGCTCTCTTGGCCAAAGCCCGAAGAACTTAGCACTAAGAGCGTATTTCGTACATTGGCCGGCCAATGCGCGCACTAGCCGGGACGTACTGGCCAAAGCCTGAAGCGCTTAAACTTTACAGTGTATTTTGTACATTGGCCGGCCAATGCGCGGACTGGCCGGGATGTCCTGGCCAACGGTCTATCTAGACTAAGTTGTGATCGCGTCTTCGTTATTCTGGGTGCGGTTTCATTGTGAGTAACGTATTGTTTGGCTCTTGTTTGTATAGCATTCTGTATGCAATGCGACATGGACCAAAAGGACCGTCAGATCAAGAGACAGACATACCAGATGGCTGCCAAAATAAATAATCCTAATCCTAATGGAAAAAAAAATTGTGAATCAAGTTATTTCTGAACTTAAGAACATGTGGCCTGAACTTAAACTAATTCACAGAAAACCAAGGCATAGCCAAAGCCAATGTCTCAAGATCTTCCTCAGTAGCTAACTTATCGAGAGCCTCTCTTAGTAGATTTGAAGTGCTGCCCCACTGTTGCTTTGCATCCAAACAAGGCTTCGTATTTTGTTGGATTCCTTGATGTAAATTACGGTTTTTCATTAGACTCTCAGCCCAATGAGCTGATTCATCTGTCTGCATCCATGTCATCATCATGTTTTGAACATCTTGGTTGGCACGTACTACTGAACATTGGCTTTGACCGTAACATATATATATATATATATATATATATATATATATATATATATATATATATATATATATATATATATATATATATATGTAAAACGAGTTCGTAGTTTGCCATTAGCCAATCTGCAACTCAAATACAATCACATTTCCGCAACTGCATTACTGTTGAATTTAGTCTATTTTACTAACTAAAATAAGCATCGTAAACTAGAAATCAGTGCTTCTTGGTGCCACTCCCCCCTCCATTACCAATATACGGTTTATGAGGTATTGGGATTTTTACAGAAAGTAGGGCTACTTAAATTAGATTTTGTATCTCAGTGAAATAAATGTTTTGTGTCTGGGTGACAACTACCACCCCCCCCCCACCTCTTCACACACTTCACCTCTCCGGCCATGAAAATGCAATTCTCTTTTGACAATAAACTTGGCTCTCAAATAAAATATAACGTTTGCAACATTCCAGACCTTTACTCTGTTATGACAAGAGTTAGACAAATATACTTTGGAGTTGTTTTTTAAATGTAGAATAAAAAAAAAAATTGCGAAAATTAAAAAAAAAACTGGGAGTGATCTCCCCTAAACTTTCTCGAATATTTTTATATATTTCCACTTCCGGTTGCCGGAAATCGCTGAAAATTTGATATGGAACTACACATTTGATATACTACTTATATGAAATTTCATCAACCTAGCTGTAACGGTACTCAAGTTATCGTGTTTACAGACACACCCACAGACATTCGGAAGGAATTGCAAAGTCCAGGTTTTCCGACTCGATTAAGCAAAGAACGCGGAAATATTGATAAATCTGCATTTATTATTTTTGCCCGATTAAAAGAAGTCCACTATACTCCGTATATGATAAAGAACTGTGGTGTAAAACGACGAAAACTGTCAAAATTTCATGTGATTTTTGTGTACGATTACAGTTCTTCCTCTATAAGCCTACTCTGTATACGAGAAAATAAAAAGTGGTGAAATTTTTAAAAATATGAAATTTGAAAAAAAAAAATGTGGACATTATAAACAAAAAAAACCCACCCAAATCAAGCACCTACAGCCTAGTTATGTCACTTGCAGCTTATGACGTCACGGACAATGCCGGCTTGTATGACGAGGCATCAAAGTGTCTGTGTTACAAGGGTCCAAGGTACTGTGCGGACATGGTTGCTGGTCTGTTTTCTGTCAACAAAGATCACGTGACTATACTAGATGTTGCTGCAGGCACAGGTATGCGTATATATAAACATCTATAAATGCCTATATATATATATATATTATATATATATATATATATATATATATATATATATATATATATATATATATATATATATATATATATATATATATACCAGCCGTCCCGGCAAGGCCGTGCACTGGCCTCTGAGCTAACCTAACCACAACCAACCAATATGAAAACACAAAAAACGCAAACATAGCGCAAACGCAAACAGAAATACTAAGACAAACGAAAACACAAACACAATCGTAAACACAACCCCAACCACAAACGCAAACATAAACACAAAGAAAACACAAATGAAAAAACAAACGAAAACAAACCAAATCCAAACGCAAATCCAACCACAAACGCAAACCCAACCCAAACACAAAGAAAACATAAATGCAAAGTGCTCACAGTCTACCCCAGTGCGCAAAGTCGCACCATGCTTGGCGCTGGCGGAACCTCCTGTTTCAGCTTAGTAAACGACTATAATACCCCAACTTATTCATAGTCTTTTGCAATCACTTAAACGAATGTAGCCGCCATAGCGAACACTGGAAGACCAGGGCCCCAAATATCACCCTATCTGGGCACCGGAGGACACCCGGATTTGATAAAGACTATATTAACCTTTCTTATCCATAGTCTATATTACTGTTTAATGCGAAATTATGCTCCATAGCGCTCACAGGATAGCCCAGGGCACCAAATCGAACCTGCCGTGGTGCTAACGGACGCGCCTGTTTCAAGTTAGTGAACAATTATAAGACTCCCCGCTTATCAAAAATGGATAGAAGTTAACATAGAGGACTTAAACAATAATTAGCAAACAGTATGTTCAGTGTATATAATTAATAAAAGGCAGTATTTAAAATACCTACAACATTGCACTTGATGAATCCCTGCTAATTATGTAATTATTTTTTACCAACACCAAAACAAAGTAACATAAAGTACATTCTTTCCCTCCTCCCCCCCGATGTAATGTTTTTTTTTAAAGGGAAGTAACTTTGTTTTCATATTTTATCAACGGAAGATTTAAGTGCTAAAGGATTAAATGTAAATATTTTTCAGACACAATTAGAATTTTTGTGAAAGCTGATACATAATTAAAAATTTTCGGTTTTGCTATTTTTACAACCAACATACAGAATTGTATATATATATATATATATATATATATATATATATATATATATATATATATATATACACATATTTTTATATCCCTCACCCCTCCCCGCAGGTTTAGTTGGCGAGGAGCTCAAAAAACGAGGGTTTCAAAACGTTCACGCACTGGAGGCCTCTATCGGCATGCTGGAGATTGCCAGGAGTAAGGGCCACTACTCTCATTATTTGTTGGCTATGGTGACTGAAGGGAAACAACTCCCATTGCTAAATGGTAAAAAAAGAAAAAAACTTTCACATATTTGTAATTTTCGGGGGTCTCCTGTAATTGACGATGTACCACGTAAAAGTTATATGTCAAAAGCGACACAATTAATATACCTTTTAACATTTTTAATTCTAATCCAAAAAAAAATACCATTAAAAAAACAGAACCCTAATTTCTTGATGTGGGATGTGAAATATGGATGGCCCTATCTGAAACAAATATCGATTTATCTACAATTAGTTATAATTAATAGAAACCTTCATATATATATATATATATATATATATATATATATATATATATATATATATATATATATATATATATATATATATATCAACAAGCTTCATACGATGCGATTACTTTATGTGGAGCCACATTAGAAAATCACCTACCACCAGCTGCCCTTGAGGAATTTGTTAGGCTGATCAAACCAGGAGGGTAAGAGAAATGTTAATCCGTATATTCTATTGTTATACACCCACCCTCGACCTCATCCATCTGATTGATGAATATTACTTTAAAAGATTGACCTACTATTTGCCCAATCTCTGCCCCAAAATGTTCCCGTGTTGATATAGCTAATTTTAATTGACCCACCCCCTACCTCAACCCCACTGACTGATATTATGTATGTATGTATATATATATATATATATATATATATATATATATATATATATATATATATATATATATATATATATATATATATCTTATATATATATATATATATATATATATATTTCTTATATATATATATATATATATATATATATATATAAATATATATATATATATATATATATATATATATATATATATATATATATATATATATATATATATATATATATATTGGATTTAATTCCAGCACGTTTTTAATCCGTCCATTTTGTTCCAGTTATTTTATCAACGTGGTCCGGGCATCGTCGTTAGTCTCTGCTGATTATGGGAAACAATATGAGAATAAAGCATTAGAGCTAGAGGAGAATGGGAAATGGGCGCTGTACGGACGCATGAAAGTCAGGAAATACAATATGTTTAATGATGGTATTGTTGATGTCTATCAAGTGTTATAATCTGAGCAGAGGCGTAGCGAGGGGGGGGGGGTGCGGATGGCACCGGGTGACACCATTTAGGGGTTAACACCAAGGCAAAAAATAGCAAAATATATAGAGAGAAAAACTTGAGGGGGGGGGGGGGGTGCAAATCGAAAGTTTGAGGGGGGTGCAAATCGGAAGTTTGAGGGGGGGGGCTGCAAATTGAAAGTTCGAGGGGGGGGGGGGCGCAAATTGAAAATTTGAAAGTTTGTCCCCGGGAAGGGTCGCTACGCCTCTGGGGGGTGACACCATTAAGTTCCGCGCCGGGTGACACCCGACATCGCTACGCCACTGAGTCTAAGCTCTCAAATTTAATTTTTTTTTTGGTGAGGTATTTCTATTTTTGGTGGTTTCTTGTCTTCTATCAATATTTCTGGGCTTCGATTTCGTTACATTTTATGATCACCACTTTTTTTAGCGTGAAAAGAAAGAGAGAGAGAGAAAGAGAGAGAGAGATAGGGGGGGGGGGTGGCGAAAATAAGGACATTTGTGGACGAGAGAGGATACATTGTTAAGGGCGGCTGAGTCCTTATCGATCACGTCCAGGAATAGATGTTAATATTAAGATACAATGCTTTCTCTCACTACGAAAATTATTCATTTTCAAAACACATTCTAGATTCTACAATTAATTACTTAATTTTATAAAAGAACGAAATACTTTATGATCAGCATAGAGAGGAATACGTCCACAATGCATGCAATTGAATTAGTTTGCCCGAAGGAAGTTTTGTAGTAACCAAGTTTTGAGAAGTCTATTTAATTCCTGTAGATATTTTTTATCGGAGGAGGGAAGGGGCTTCTTTTAAAGTTGACACTTGTGGACAAGGGGGTGGGGGGGGGGGGGGGGAGGAGGGAGTTTTCTTCTTTCTTCTTTTTCTACTTCGATCATAAGTGTATTATCGGATATGATTTCCTACAACATAACACAAAATCTATGTGTCAATTTGTTATGTTAAAATAGGGCCCGTTACCTCCGAATTCAGCCTGCTTTATTTTTCTTGATTTTGTTCCGCCAGCCTTTGTCCAGCCAAGAACAATTTGCAAGGTAGCAGTTGTTTAATTGTGGAGTTTTCTTTCCTAGATGGGTTTCTGTCTCAATCTAGAGAACCTAGTCTTCTAAAGACTGAGGGAGGGGGTTGCGAACTCCGGCTTTCTAAAATTCAATTTTTTTTGTATGGACGTTATAGATGAAGTCCCATTCCTAGAACAGTTCTGGCTTCTGCTATATGACTGGAGAAAATCTTATGAGGAAAAAATATTGTATATTTATTATATTATATATTATTATTGTATTAATTATGTATTTCTTTGCACTGTGAACCATTTATATGCTTAATAAACAAAGTAATAAATTTATATTTAAAAAAAAACCACAATAGTTTCTTTTTAATTCACGTTTATGTTTTCCACGAATTTTAACACTAATTTGCTGTCATAACACTACCATATGAATGAACTGTTTTAAAAAAATGACCAACGCAAAATAATAAAAACAACTTTCAATAGTGCCACTCTATCACTAAAATAAACAGTGCTACAAAAATTTCCAAGATCGAGATTAAAAAGCCCTAGTTAAAACATCAACTGTATTTGTTGTTGTCTATTTTTACATGAGTTGTTTGTTCATATTTGTTTGGTCGGCCACATCTTTGTTTATCGGACATCATTCACATTTCACATGCCAGTCATCACCCTCGTAAAATGATTACTTTTTTTCCATCACTTACTGATATGTGGTATCTATTTTTCCTAATCGTGGATACTTCACCCAGAGTTTCTTCCAGGCATCTCTTCGGGGGGGGGGGGGGGCTAAGCCCCCCCCGAAAATTTTTTACCGCCCCCTCCCCCCCGAACGAAATGAAATTTATATAATTTATATAGAAAATATATACTTTTAACAGTGTCCGCCCCCCCCCCCCCCCCAAAGAAAGTTTACCGCCCCCCCGAAGATTTCAAGTGCCCCCCCCCCCCCGGAGAAAAAAGTCTGGAAGAAACACTGACTTCACCCCACGCTTCGTCACGCGTCCTAGCGATCATTGACATCAAAGTTTGAAATGTCATACTTTATGACTTATAATAAATAATAATAAAAAAAATTACCCGCATATCTATAAATTACGTGTGCGTGGTAAACTATCTGTTGCTTTAGTACATCTTTCTCAGGTTCTAGATTGTGTTTATTATCACAAAATTAGTTGAAATTTCTATCGATCCAGTACGTTGGCATACTAGCGACTGTCACAGAATGTCATGAATTTCCAATGGTTTTCCATCCCATATGAAGTCATGGTGGTCAAAACAATAAAAAAAAGTTACATATTACCATTCATACACACACACACAATATATATATATATATATATATATATATATATATATATATATATATATATATATATATATATATATATATATATATATATATTTATATATATATATATACATATATATATATACATATATATGTATATATATATATATATATATATATATATATATATATATATATATATATATATATATATATATGTATATATATATATATATATATATATATGTATATATATATATATATATATATATATATATATATATATATATATATATATATATCTTATATAAGTAAATATATGTATGTAAGTAAATTCATGTATATAGTAAATACATGTATCTATAACAGATATTATAATTTATGAATAATTTTTTTAGTCCACCTAGGTCATCATTAGCATAAGTTCATTAGCCTACTCCATCAAACGTTTCTTTAACCACCACAACACTACCAGTATCTTTTAATCCACCTTGGGCATGATTAGCATAAGGTCATTAGCCGACTCCTGCATACGTTTCTCTAACCATAGCTACACTACCAGTATCTGTTGTGATCACTCAATCACCCCGTGCGTGACATGTGTTATACCAGTGTCTGATATTGCCGTTATAATGGAATCTCCTTAATACGGGGGGTGTTAGGTCACTAGTTGGACGCTTATCACAAATACACCTACCTAATGTCAAAGCTAACGTAACCCTAACCCAAAACAAATTCCTACCACAGTCCTTACGTCAATGTCTAAAAACTAACACTAAACTTGAAATTACAATCAATACTATAACAAAATCCAAAACCCACCTAATATCGGAAGAGTCTATTCTCGAATATTTTTAGCATCGACGCCCTGCGCCTTATTAAAAATCAAAGATAAACACATTATCGAATATATATTTTTTTATTCGTTCACGATTACTCATGTTTTGTTTACAAAACCGGCCCTTGTTACTGTCTAGCCAGCAGTGGAAAATTTTCAAGGTCAGCGTGTGAGCGCGAGCAGGTTGCAGACGACAAACAACTCAGCCATGAAATTCACTGCGCAGGCCGCGCGCTGTATATAAGCGACAGGTCCGCCGCTTCGGCCACAAATCATCGTCTCTCATCGAACCAATCAGATCTAGCGTTACATAAGGAGAAACATCGCCATGACGACAAACGACAATCCAAAAATCCAAAATGAATTTATGTTAAGTTTTCAAGTGCCCGGGTTAGGCATAGAAACGGCAGTAAATGGTAACTTTTTTTTTTTACTTTAATTTAGCTGTAAAGAAAACAAAACAAAAAAGACGAGCTTAAAATAATAATCATTTTAAAAATGTTTCTTAGTTAGGAGATAACGTAAGGTCGCTTACCTTTAATGCACAGCTTAGTTAAATACGTTTCGCTCTGTTTCAAAAAACACAATAAGATATAGGCCTAAGTATTTTTTTTTACAGTTACACAGATAAGATTTTTAAATTATCTTAAAGGTTGAAAAGACGTCATCAATAAAAATATAAGTATGCTATAAATAAACAACAATTCAAAGAAGGTCAAATTACTTCTTTTAATCGACTACCTCCTATGCTCTGGTTCGATAAACGTCATAATTTGTTTTATCCTTATTGAATTATAAGCGAAGCCTAATTCGGTAAAACTGCTTACTTTTTTTTAAAATTCTTGAATTTGAATTTAAAGTTTTTACTCAAAGAGCTGGTTTTTTCTTCAGAATACTTAATTGCCAAAGTTGTATCGTAGCTTAAAAGTTGGTAGACTTTGTGTGTGTGGGTGGGGGTGATGCGTAATTAATGCAATACATTTTCTAAGGAGTGGTGAATTTGTATTGTAGTTTATCAGGGTGCCCGACCTCGAGACTGGGGGGGGGGGGGGTTCTGCACCAAAATTGCCTCTTCCTCCTTAAAACTAATTTGCCATAGCAAACTTGACTAAAACTTACAAGAAATATCTTGTACTGTAAGCTATTGTATGTTTTTAATAACAGTATTCGAAGCTGGAAACCTTGCGTTATTAGTGATGTGCCCTAACCAACTTGCCAGTTTATTGATGATATTTAAAACATATAACACAAACCAGTTAAATATATTTAATGTAATTAAAATTAACTGACAAGCACGAATCTTGTTAATTGGTGGCACGGCGTATTGGGACGGTAGAGCGCGCGACTGCTAACCCAAAAGTCTCGAGTTCGG